TGCTTGAGCTCTTGCATCGGCTTCAAGGTGTGAATTTTCCAATCTGACAGTGACCACGACACATAATCCATCCACTACAGAGCATGTACTGGGTTTACCTTTTTGTCTGTAGAAAGCTTGCAATTGAGGCAAAGATCTAATTAAATGTCTGAAGTCAGATTGGTGTGTTCTGTGAATTTGGATTCCTTTATTTACTACTGCAGGAAATCACTGCAGTCATTACGAGAAGGCATCTCTGGAGTTAGGAAACAGAGGACTTTGATTATAGCCTTTAGCTGTAAATGGCTGTTTAACGTATAAATACAGTATATATCAATTTCTTTTATTTATGTACTTAGCCCAACATCCAGAAAAAAATAAAAGCTTTTGGATTTGAGAAGGAAGTATGCATATAATTCTTAATTAATTCAGTTAATTGTGTGGAGTCATTGCAAAGCGAAAGCATTCTTCAGATGCCATTTTAGGAGATGAGGCAGAACACTTCTTCATAATAGAACTCTTCCTATCTGTATGTAGCACTCTTTTTATTTTAATATACTACTGTTGCTGCATTTCTTTCATGAGTGAGTGTATTGTTTCTGTGACATCAAAAACAAAGAACATGGACTTTGTGGTGACACTCATATTGTGAACTTGAATGAGACATCTGGAAATCTCTTAATCATTGGGGCAGTTTGTGAAGAACTGTAGCCCTTGGGAAGGACTCACATTGGAGAGGTTTGTGGAGTACTGTCTCTCCTGGGAGGGACCCCACAGTGGAGCAGAGGTAGAGTGAGAGGAGAAGAAAGGAGCAGCAGAGGCAATGTGTGATGAACTGACCACAACCCCCATCCCCTGTCCCCTTGTGTCACCGAGGGAGAAGAATTAGAGAAAACTGGGAATGGAGTTAAGCCTGGAAAGAAGAGAGGGGTGGGGGGGAAGATGGTTTTTACATTTAATTTTTATTTCTCATTACCCCACTCTACTTTTGATTGCTAATAAATTAATTTTTTCCCCGAAGTTGAGTCTCTTTTGCCCATGATGGTAACTGGTATTATGTATGATCTCTCTGCCCTTAACTTGACCCATGAGCCTTTTGTTGTATTTTCTCTCCTATGTCCAGCTGAGGAGGGAGGTGATAGTGTGGCTTTGGTGGGCACCTGGTGTCCAGCCAGGGTCAATTTGCCAGAAGAATTATAAATACTTCCGTAGTAATAAAGACTTCTCCCACCAGGCAGTAGAGCTTGAAAACTAAGGTTTGAGCCCAGCTCTTACTGGACTTGCATAGCTGATTCCTACTGTACTTGGAATTTCTCTTTTTTTTTTCTAACCCTGGTAATGGCTATTTACAAACTGGTTAGTCTGTTACCAGTTATTTCCTGAGCAGTGTAACTCTCTGTCAAAATTATACAAAGTAAAAGTGGGTTTTGATAGGGGCAAAAATTCATGAAGATACAGATTTCTTTCATTTTTGCCCTGGGGTACAGATTATTTCAAGCTGTTGGCTTTTAGTGTCTTTAGAGGTATGTAAAGGCATAGGAAGTCTGAGTATTTGGGATACATGACTTCCCTGAGGACTCATTTCATCCTGTTCCCTCACAAGCTCAATAAGCTTTTTTTATTTTTTTATTTGTTAGGAGTAGTATTGATGAAGGCTAACTGCAGAATATTGTATGTACATGGAAAGCTTAGCATAAACATCTCTCACTTTTTACTACTTTGTGATCCTGTTGCCCTGTGAATGAAATGGAGACCAGTTGTAGCTCCTACTGGTAAACGTCAAAAAAGCTGTACAAGAGCATTCCAGGTTTTCATAACTTCTGTGGAACAAGTTTTTCTTGTTTTCCCTTGCCAACCTCACTTGTTGGTTGTTTATTCCCTGACATGTAGGTTGTACATTGCTTAATGTTGGAGTACTCATTTTAAAGCAGGATTATTGTGAAGAATTTTCATGTTTCTTGGTTGAAAAAGTGATATTTGGCCTGAAATTGTGTGGCTGAAGGGAATTGTTACCTTGCCTTAGAGAAGGTACTCGGTGAGATACTGGTCTGTGGCATTTTGGAAAGTCTCAGAGTTCTAGGCCTGTAGTGAGCTGCATTGGCTTTATTGGGCAGCATCGTGTGATGGCTGCAGTTTTGGAGACTGTGCTTGGAGAATTGCACTTGCCCTTCCTTGTAAGGTGTCTGAGCTGTAGGCATGTTACCATCGTGTTTATTGACTAGAATGACTGTTGGATGCTTCTAAATTTACAGACTTTGTAGAGCGGGCGTAGCTAGGCTGCAGTAGATCTTGTGTTAATAATAAAAAAAATAATAAAGTAATTTGGTTGATTTTTATCCCTGCATTCCAGGGATGCTGTGAAATGCAATTTCTATCCCCGAGGAGAATAATCTGCAGAATTTTGAGAGTCGTGTTTGAGTTCTCCAAGGCAGATTAGAAAATACATATTAATATTTGTAAACTGAAGACATTTGGCCTGAGAATTAAGCTCAAGTGTTAATCCATGGAATGACTGATTTTGACAGAGATTTTTTTAGTGTATGAAATTTTTTCTTTATTTCAATATTTATGTCTTTTTTTAAGAAGTACTATCGCTAATCTGTTCTGTGAGCTTTGAGAGAGGAAGTCTGAAAATTTGTACGTTTGAATTGGGATTCTCAACTGTTCTTTACCTGCCTCAGACTATTGACTGGTTTTGTTACAGTACTGTAATTTCTAGAGGGGAAACAGTTAAGTAAACTCTACTTCAAACCTTCCTCAGCTTCATTTACATTGCATTTGCAATGGCTTGAGGTGTGATATGCTTGTGGCTGTTGCTAGAGGAGGTCACAGGATGCTTCCATTGTTTCTCTTGTCTGGAAGGTTTCACCATTGACTCTGCTAATTGCTTTCTAGATGTGAAAATAAACTAGAGGCTCTTGAAAAGGTTTTGGCTTGTTCTCAGTCCTTATGTTTTGCTTCTGACAAAGCTGGAAGATTCATTGGCCTGTGATGCTATTCATGAGCTGGCAGTAAAGGATTCTTTCAGTCTTTTGTCCTCTCTCAGCAAGGCTCAGCATTTGTATATGCTCTTCAGTCTTTCTTTCGTTTGTAAGTGATATCAAGTCAAGTGTGCCTCTTAACCATACCAAAGTGTGGAGATAAAATCTAGGTCTTCCCATGATAATTGTAATCCTGGATGAGTCGAGCATTCAGCACAGGTTATAAGTCAAGCCTGGTGTTACTGCTTACTTGCTGAGTGTCTGCTTTCAGAGTGTTACTTAAACTCCTGTTGTACAATTTATCTCTGACTTCATTCTCTTGAGTTGCAGGGGATTTACAACGTAGGGATTCCTTTTTGGGTAGAGACAAACTGGAGAGGAAGGTTTACGCCTGCTTAACCTATTCCTAGAAAGGTTTGTGTTGCTTAGGAAAACTTGTTTGGTTTCCATGGTCTGCTGTACACAAATCTGCTTTGTCATCCACCTCTTCTCACTGAGCTGTTAGAAGGTTTTTCTTGGACATGACTGTGGACATGACTAAAGCTAAAACCGACAGCTTTAAGCACAGCTACCTGATTCCTTGTTTTTGTGCCAGCATAGTTTCTCTTCTCTTCACGATGCTTATCTTGATCTGTGGATAGACAACAGGCATATCTCAACTGCCATCTCTTATGGGTTTTATTTACTTTCTTAGACTCTCCCTTAAATACATTTTTCCCTTCGCCCTGACAACTGCGAGGGTTTGACTTCTGTATCCTTACTAGAAGGCTCCTAAAAGGAAAGGTATGAATGCTGTGTAGTCATTGTTAAAGCATTCATTTATGTGCATTACTGTCAACTCCTTGCACCTTTATTAACATGTTTCATGAGTAGTTTGGGGGCCACTCTATACAGCCTTCTGGAACTGAGGAATATTTCTGATATGTTAGTAGTGAAGATACCTGCTGCTTCTATTTTATACAGATGCTTAAGGAAGAGTAATTGGATTTCTCTTTGCTTCCACTTGGGGTTTATAAAGCAAGCACCATGAATAAAACATCAGGATTGTCTCAGCTATATTACTGAGAAAGCATTCTGAAGCATAACATTATGTAGAAGCTTGAAATCAGATTTCCTCTTTCCCTGTGGAGGTTAAAAAGCTCAGTATACTCTTGGAGCAGGTACTGGCTTCAGGCCAAGACAGGAGGCATGAAGTGCTGGCTGCAGTGCATATAAGCCTAGTAAAATCTGACTTCTCTAAATGCTTGGCCTCATAAGTGAATCTAAACTCGGCTTGAAAAGATGACTTTTGAAATGATTAATTCCTATGGTTCTGGTATATTACATGCAGAAAGCATGCCTAAAGGCTCTGCTTTTGTGTGTCAGGGATTTAAAAACATGGAGTGACTTGACAAGAAAGTAAATGAATAATGAGACTACTCAGGTGAACTGTTGCTGATTGTAGGTAAGCAGGGGAAGCACAAGAGAATTACACTGGCTGTGCAAATACAGCACATTTCATGTGTTTTTATTAATTACATCTGACTGCGTTAGTGTAGCCTGTGAACATAATGTAAAAGATTTTTAGCTGAGAAATGATGTCAAGATACTTGCAAAAGCCTTTAAGTTCAGAGTATGTGTAGATAGGTTAGGAGGTTTCCAGTGTAGATGTTCACCCAGGAAAATGCAAATTATAGTCTTTTTTTCCCCTCAATTCTTATGTAATGCGTGCAATTTGAATTTCAAGGAATGAGCTGACTTCAGATGCAAAATGAGAGCAGAAGGTATAGCAGTAAGCAAAAATTTTTAACTGTTTACAGTTAATTTGCTGGGTTGTTGTGTACAGTTCTAACATAACAGAAACAAAACTTGTGTGAGTTAAAGAAGCTTATGTTGGATTATACAACAGATAAATATTAGCTTTTCATATTATAAGTACTGGGATTTTCTTGTAACTCCTCCTTTTATCCTCTTAATAGAGCTTACATAAGAGTAATATGAAGCATGTATGTGACAATTAATTTTCTGTTCCCACTTAATTGTGAAATATTTGCATTTCAGCTCAAATCAAAGACAAAGTTAAAGAAAGGGAAAAGAAGCAAAAAGAGAAGAAGAAGCATAAAATAATGAATGAAATCAAGAAAGAAAATGGAGAGATCAAATTATTGCAGAAAGGTATGTTCAAACTATGTAATGTTTTTTTCATTCTAAGTTCTTAAAATATTTGTGTTTAGATACTGGGTTTCAATACCGTGGTTTTCATTTAGCTTATGCCATTTTCTCTAGTTAGTTGGTATGAGGGTTGCAAGTTAAAACCTAACTGTAGATGTTACTTTTTTTGTCAAATGTATTAGGTGCTGGAGATTAAAGATAAAACTGTCACCATGGTGTTGCATATACAGTAGTAGTATTAGGAAAGACCAGTACTTCAAGGAATAATATTGGTGATACCTTGTTCAGTAACTGCAGAGAAGATGCAGGTTATCATTTTATATATTGTGGAGAAGAAAAATGAATGTGTTACATTTTATGTCTACAAAACTGAGTAACTAAGGAGTTGTAATTCAGAAACTTTGTCAAATACTAAAATGTTACATGCAACATGCAGCCTTAATTTTGACTAATTTCTTCAACTTTGTTTTCTGTAAAGGAATGTCGTTAAGAAAATGTTTTCACATGACTTGTGCATCCACTGATTGTTGGAATTGTACAGTAGTTGAGGCTGGAAGGGGCCTAGTCTGACACTGCTCCAAGTAGGGTCAATTAGAGCAGGTTACCCAGGACTATCAGACTGTCTCCAAGGGTGGAGGCAGCACAGTCTCTCTGGACAATTAGATTCAGTCTAGATATAAGGAAGATTTTTTTATGATGATGGTGGTGAGAGACTGGAACAGGTTGCCCAGAGAGGTGGCAGATGTCCCATCCTTAAAAATATTCAAGGTCAGGATATTCAGGTTGGATGAGGCTTTGAATAACTGGATCTAATTGAAGATGTCCCTGCTCATTGCAGGGGGGTTGGACTAGATGGCCTTCAATGGTCTATTCCGACAGAAACTATTCTATGAGTCTGTTGTATGATCTTTGCTATGAGGAGAGACTGCTGGGACTGAGAAGGCTGGAGAAGAGGCTCAGGGGGGATCTCATCAGTGTGTATAAACACCTCATGAAAAAGGTTGTCAGCCTATGCTGGTTCATGGGGTTATTCCTCTCAGGTGCAGGGCTTTGCCCATCCCTCTGTTGACTTCAAGAGTCCCCCAGGTTGGCTCATTTCTGCTGTGTCTCAAGGTCCCTCTCACAGGCAGCACAACCCTGGGGTGTGTCAACCCCTCCTTCCAGTTTTGTGTCACCTCCAACTTGCTGAGGGTTTGCTCTGTCCCATGACGCAATTAATGAAGATGCTGAACAGTACTGGCACAAGATATCAAGGTCTGGATTAATCCAGTAGGGACTGTTTTCCTCCTGGGCTTTATAATGCTGCTTACAACCCTTTGAGCACAGCGGTTAAGCCAGTTCTTGAACTACCTTAGTCTTCACTTAGGTCATGCTACATTAGATTTTTTGTGAGGGTGTTGCTTATTTGAGTAGACCAATTTTTTTTTTTTTAATATGTTATTTTCAGATTCTGCTTTTGAAGTTAGGAACAAATTCCTGATATGTTTTTCTGTTACCTTGTCTGCTGTAGGATTTAATTTAGAAACCAGAAACTGAAACCCTCAAATCAAAACTTGATCTTCAAAATGTTCCTATGAGGTCAGAGGCACAGAACCTGGTAATTACTGCATCATATATGATACTCTGCACACAAGTTAACTGTATTAGCTATGACAGCTTCAAACCTGCTTTGATCAGATCTAAAGGTATTGCCTTGAACACAGGAGTGCAAACTGATGACTTCCTGTGAGAGGGACAGGTGTGACTTGTCTTTGCTGAGCGTGGAAGGAAGTTGGTGGTTGAGATACTGGAGATACTGAGCAAAGCTTAACTGCCTCAACAGTGAGGTTCTTCAGGCTTTGAGTCACAGCCTTTTTTTACACTGGGTCCTGTTTCTGTTGCCGTTCAGTAGATCAGGTGGAAGCTGCAAAGACAGGAAGTCTTCTTACACAGATCTAATAAATGATGCCTAGTGGGGCTGTTGAGCCAAAAATGGTGCTTTACTTTCAAAGTAATGTAAAAATGTATATGCCCAGGGACTGTGTTAGAACATCTCTGCCGAGTAGCAGGATGGGTTGTTCTCATGGAGAACGCTGCTACAAGTGCAGTAGATGCCTTACTCTATTTCACTTGACTTGTTGCCAGTCAAGTGTGTTTTAGGTGTTCTTTAAGGTGTTGGAAGGAAGTGTTTTTAGAAGCTATGTTTGCTTTTTCAGTATCCTGCAAAATTGACTCCTATTTCAGGAAAAGAAGGGAATGTGTCAGGAGAGCAGATAGATTCTCTCCACCGGGTTTGTATCCCATTCAGAACAGCAGGTCATTGTTTTCTGTGGGCCTCCAAAATCTGACTGGATGTGCTTGTATGTGCTGCGACATTCATACAACACTTCCTGAGTTGTTTAGCTGATCTGGTTTTACATCCTGGGCAACAGACAGCAAAGGCAGAAGTGCTTTAAGGAGCAGCTTCTTGTATGTGTCAGTCTCTGTGACCTTCTCAAATATTAACTCTATCTGAGGGTGTCTTCTTCCTGTGTAGCAAAGGCTCCAGGCCCTATTGTTCTGAGCTCAGAATTTACTGCGTGGGCTTTGAACAAAGTTTTGGAATGAGTCTGCTTCCCTTTTCTTTGCATTTTTGATTTTATGGTTGGTTTTTCTTTTTTTGTTTGTGTATGTCTAGAGACTGACACTACAGTGCCTAAAGGCATTTTATTTCCTTTTCCTAGTTATTAGATCTATATCTTGTTGTAAAATGTTGCTCTGACCATCTGTTTGTGACTTACTTTCTTTAAGGGGCTGGAGGTAACAGTCTGTGAGACTTCAGACAGCTAAAGTAGCTGGCCAAGGTAAAAGGTGACTAGTTATAGCAGAAGTCAGTAGTGAGGGACTGATGCATTTTGAGGGAGAGTTGGTGCATAAGCCTGATTTTGGTGCTTTAAGCTGAATGTGGAAGTGTTACTTGTATGAGGAAGCTCAGGGGTGTAAGCTGTTCATCTGCCTAAACTTGTGTTGGCGTTCTGTTGAAAGCCGTGATAAAACTTGCCAATGTTGGAGACAGACAGTTCTTGAAGAGGGTATTTTTTTTTGCAGTTCCTGAGGCTGCTAAAGGAAATGAGGCACTTTCAGAGAGGCTGATGGCTTTTGTTATGAATCTAGAATGAAAAGGTTTTTTGTCACCCTTTTGCACTTGAAGATGTATTCTCTGAAGAATAAAGCTATCTAATTGCCTCTATGTGTCTCAATCTGTTATGTGGAAGAGCTCAGTTTTTGGAAAAAAAAAGGCTTCTTGGCACATGCATATTGCTAAAAATTCAGAAACTATAAGTGAATTAAACTTATTTTTTATAAAAATTGCATAGTAAGCAGTTACCTTCTAGAAATGGAGAGTTTCATACAAAAAATTTGATGTGACTGAAAGTTACTGGAGGTTCTGCAAAATGGAAGATGATTAATAGGTTTATTTGTAAACAGTCCCATTTGTGTTTTATCTTTAAGAAAAAAACAGTCAGTCTTATTTTTCACATTATTTATATCAGAGCACAGCAATAGCTAAAAATGCAGTAGGAGAAGTTCTTAGTGTGTGTTTCTGCAAGGTTAAATGCCTTGGTTTATTGAATGCCAAAATGCAGGAAAGAACTGAAAATGAATATTTTATTTTGCTGGTATAAACATATGTAAGTACAAAGTGTTTTATAAAGCTTTCTGTTGTTATTATTCTGGAAGAAATTACATTTAATTGCACATTCTTATTAACCTTTTAAAATTTTTATTGATGGGTTTTGCACAGAAGTAATTATAAAATTGGAATATCGAACACAAGACCTGAGTCATACTGCATGCTTTTTTCCCATCCACTGTGTTTTGTCTGTGTGTATCTTTAGGGAGAATGTTGAAGGACTTATTTGCACTTTAGTTGATGGGACATTGAGGGAATGGGTAAGACTGAAGTAAGAGTGTAGGGCACACAACCCATCACACTGATTTGCCTGTAATACTGAGTTTGCTTCACAGTCCTTATGCTCCAAGTTACTATTACCAATAAAATATATGAGTTTGGGGTAAAACACAGATGTTGAATGTGATGGAGCAGGTGGCAGCTGGAGGGAGAGCTGTACTGTAAAGCTTTGAAATGTGTCTTGCTGGAGGTGGGGGTCTGGGGCTTGAAGCAAAGGCTTCTGGTACATCAATGAAAAGTGAAAGCCTTTTTCTACAACTGCTTGCAAAATCTCTGGGTTTTTTATATAATTTTTTTAAAATGAGATCTGAAGGCTGTGGTTACAAATTATGATAGTCTATTTAGCATATGCACGTGTATTATTTGGAATATCTTTTTATGGTGAAGACCGTGGAAATAATTGTAGTTTTTGAATTACTGTGTTTCAAAGATAAGACTTCTGCGAGAATTTCAGTGCTGTCACATTTATAGGAGTTCTTCCTTTGAGAACAGTCTTTGTACCTCTGGATTATTGCTAGTAAATATCTGAGTAAGTTGTTAGGCTGCGTGCACACAAAATATTTTTCTTTTACCCTCTGATTGTATTGTTTATAGGAAGTGGGTTCAGTTCTAATTTTGATGCCACAGATGAATTAAAATACTGTGATGGTCAGTTCAGAAAAGAGATCTGCTTCTATGTGTGTTTCTCTGCTGTCTTTAAAGTTCTTCCATAGCAGAGTGAAAAATGCTGGTAGAGGAGTGTGTGCGTGTTGAAGTGAAAGACTTCATTGAAACAAGGTGATTAAATCAGCACCTTTTCACCTCATGGTGTATTTTAAGATCAAGGAGTGCAGAACTGCATAAAACCTTTGTCCTGCATTCATTCCTCTTAGATTTTTCTTCTCATATGAAGACTTTTAATTTTGAACTGAAATCTTCTGCTAGGCCTTTCCTCTCCACAAAGTTTTCTGTCCTTGCTTTTAGTCTAGCTGGGATTTCTGTTAATGTTTTTTATTTGGGTTGTTCCCTTATTTGGAGAACAGATATTTAGATGTATGGAAGGAATAACAGGTTGCTGCTTTTTGATATACTT